CACCACAATATTTGGTTGTATGCAGTGCTAGATACTGAACATGTACATGTTCATGTTAGGCAAACACGATACCAACTCAGGTATGTCTCCAATGCTCTGTTATTTTATAATTTTTAAATTAGCAAAGATTTCTTAAATATTATAATGCTCAGTATTACTGGGGATACAATGTTATGTGTTTCTGTCTTAGGGTTTTAAATCCTGTTTTCAGGAGGGAAATTGGTAAAGTGTTTCAAGATTAGTAGATTTGCAAGTAATCTTTTCCCTGTTCTCCCTTCATTTTCTTTCTATGTGTAGCTGTATGTTCAAAGTTCTTTTTATAAGGACGCTGGCTAATAGTGGAGGTCTGCCCTACTAACCTCATTTGAAACCTCCCATTTCCAAATTACATATTTCTAAATGACATCAGAATCTGAGATAATAATGGTTAATACTTCAATATATAATTTTTTTGGTAAATATTTGAATCTACAACAGATTGTACAGGATTAATTAGTGAGTAGGGAAGTGGGGAAATGGAAATAGTAAGTGTTGATAGAACTTTAAAACGCTTGATTGTAAGAGCGAGAGGAGGTGGATAAGCACAAGGAAAAAAGAATTTTTCAGACAGCTGGTCAGTTACTCATATGAATTCACAACAATAGTGACAGCATGGACAAGCCCCATGTAAGCTCAGTTCAGACAAAATCTCAGCATAGACATGGGGAAGTGGATAAGAAACTCTAACCCTACCCGAGGAACTATTGGCAACCAATGGGTGCAGGGAAGGGAAGATTCACTCTTCTTTAAAGATGAAACTCTTAGTAGGTTGACCAGACTCCAGTGGATGAACCTGCGCTGAAGGGAATTTGGAGACACAAACATGACTCTATAAGCCTTAATGTGTGTGTGTGTGTGTTTGTGTGTGTGTGTGTGTGTGTGTGTGTGTGTGTGTATACTCTATAAGCCTCAATACATACGTATGTGCACATGTGTATAGAAATTTGAGGGGATACTATTAAGGGGATGCAGATATGAGAGGGGATATAAATATGATCAAGATTTATGAAATTCACAAAAATTAATAAAAATTAATGACTAAATAAACTTAATTTTGAAGGAAGGCAGAGGTATTGAGAGAAGAATCAGTTTGGGCACCACAGAAGCAAGGAGTGAATTGAGCATACTTTATGCAGGGAGAGGGATGAGTAAAGGAAAAAACAAATACGCAAGTGAGAGGATGAATCTGAAAATGGCAATATGCAAGAGGAAGAGGGATTAAGAATTCTCCTGAAAATAGTAGCCTTAAATTGTAACCAGAGCACTTCACTATATGAGACTGGAGGGACTGATGGTTATAAATACAAATCTATTAGTAGGATTGGTATTGGGAGTATATGGGATGAAACATTTATAGAAGGGTGTGTAAAAGTTAATTTTGATTATTACCTTGCCTAGATTAGTAAAATACTCCTCTGAGTTTGTCTATAAGGATGTTTCCAGAGAAAATTGATGCAGGAAGACCAAATCTATGTGTGGAAAACAACATCCTCTATGTTGTGATCCTGGATGGAATATAAGAATAGAGGAAAGAAAGTACAGGTGTTGTGTTGCTCTGCTTCCTTAGCATCATGTCATGAGCTGCTTGTGCTATAACTTGCCTGTGATGATGGGCTGAATCCATGAAAAAGCTTTCCTCCTTCACATTATTTATGTTAGGCATTTTGTTACACGGACAAGAAAAGTAACTAATCCAAATGAACAGGTATTCTGGACTTGGGCTTTGTAAGTTCAAATTTCAGGTTTAATATGTAACTTTTGGAAAGTGATTTAATACCTGTCTATGAGCTTCTCTTCATTACTACAAGGATTTTCCTTGAAGATTTAGTGAGACAATTTATTACAAGTGCTATATAACTGTTTGACAATATCGGTATCACTATGCAGATTTTGAGTTGAAATGAGCCGAGAGTGAAGTAAAATGTAGGTGGGGCCCGAAGAATGTGGTAAAAGTTTGGAATAGGATAGGAAGCTAAAAACTAAATAACACTCAGGATGTAGTTGAGAATGCAATTAAATTTAAGAAGCTGTGGTGCACAGGATCAAGCACTTTTCACCAGCTGCATTTAGCACCCACTGGACTAATACAAGAGGAGGTAGATTTTAAGATGATCTAGAGACTTAGTGGTATTCAGCATTAGTGAACATGAGAATTACTTGGAGGAGGTTATTAAACCACACATAACCAATTACATCACATTATGGTATTTTTTTGTGGTACTGGGGTCAAATCCATGGCCCTCTGCTTGTTTAGAAACATTTTACTGCTAAGATACATGACAGTTCATTAGGAATTTATTTGCATTTTCCTAGTGGCTAATACTGATGAATATCTTTCATGTGCTTATTTGCATCCACATACCATCTTTAGTGAATATTCTGTTCAAAGTTTTGCTTGTTTTAATTGGATGATTTGTTTTCATTTTGCTTTGAGAGATCTTTATTATTTTATTAGAAAATCCAATTAATATAATTAAGAATGAGAAAATATTTAAATAGATATTTCTCCAAAGAAGATATTAAAAAATGACGTAATGGGGCTAGCGAGATGGCTCAGTGATTAAGAGCACTGGCTACTCTTTCAGAGCACCCAGGTTCAATTCCCAACAGTCACATGGTGGCTGCTAACTGTCCCTAACTCCAGTTCCAGGAGATCC